AGTTCTATTTCGTTCTTTTTTAACCTTTGCCTTTATTACTTTCAGGTATAGTAAAAAAATTGTATTTTAATAAAAATTAAAAATTATGAATTCAAAATTATTTTGCATATTATTTATTGTAGCAATAATCTTTTTGAATGTTGTTTAGGTTGGCGATCAAATCCTGTTTGCAAGCTCAAGTTCGGGTAAATAGTGGCTTATGCCTCAGTCCAGAAACCTAAACAGCAGTGAGTTTGTGCAAAGGAATAAATGTCAAGAAAATTCATGACGCAACAGCCGAATTCATAATCAAACTGAAAAACTTTATCTTCAAACTAATTTGTTTGAAGCAGCGCTAAAAACTTTCGAATCGCCCTCAGCCTAATTCCTACTCGAGGGGCATCTCAATTAGGCTGCTCTAATCCGCCTGAGTGGCCGAGTAGGCAAGAGTCTCCACTAGCAACTCAATGGTCGTGGGTTCAAACCTCAAGTGCGGAAGAGTTTTTTAATAAAGCCGAAAGCCTTAGATGCTAGTGCTTTAAGACTTTAATCTTAGAATTTATTCTCTCTGGCTAAATTTATAATAATAATAACAATGATAATAATAATAATAGGCTACTCTAACCTATTTTCTTTCGGAAACGCTTTTGGGTGAACACAAATGCTTTCTAAAGGCATTTGCTAGTGCATTAAAGGAATTAGGGATCAATAGGTGTGAGATTAGGCTTTCACTGCCCAATAGGACCCAGACTAGCTTTTCGTGGTAGATAAGAAATTAATGAGAGGATTTTTTTCATATATTCGACATGGTTCAAAGCATCCCAGCAAACCAACAAAAAAAACATTGATATTCTGAAAAGTCTACGCTGTCCTAACCTTTTAAGCACAAAAAGAAGAAGAAGAAGAAGAAAAAAAAACAAATCGATAGTTCATCTAGTTCTTTCTGCATTTCTAAATAATATTTGATGGCTTGTGTGCAGAAAAATGTCGATTTTATTGTGTTTTTGTATTTAAGTTCACTTCTAAATCCTTGGCAGAAGCAGAAGAGATGTTTGCCTACAGCAAACAAATGCTTCGAACTTCCCCTGGATTCCTGGAAAACTCATTCGGAATACAATTTTTGAATTGTTGCAATTCTGCGAAAGCACTAGAAAAACTTTTAATTTACAATGTAAATAGATTTGAAAGTTTTAATTTCTTTTCCAGCGTCTTTGTACACGCCTACGACAAGCTGAATATGGATATGGTTGTAATCTTGGTGTGTTGTTTCATGTTTTAGAAATTTGTTCAACAATTTTTACTTTTATTCTTATTTTGCTTTATTGCTGTAAATCCTCTTTCATATGCACTTCACACTTTCACACCCTCATGGATCAATAGATACGAGCAAACACTTTGCTTGCTTTTATTTAATCCATGTAAAATTATTCATGATAGTCGTTTGTATGCGAAATATTTACTTCTGTTCTCTGTTTTGCTAAACTTTTATTTTTCGCAACAACTTTCTTACACATTGCCATTATAAATAAAGAACAAAAAATCGAATTATTTTGAAAAGTTTTCTAGTTACAAATATATCTCTGATTTGTGTGTGCCTTTATTGTGTAATACTTTTTGTTAATATTCGACGTATTGTTTACAAGAATCGGTAAAACAAAGAGAAAGATATCAACGGGGCGAGGGATATGGAATAAGAGGGTACTCTTAAAAGGACCGAAAAATAAGACGTAACAGATAGTTGCAGAGGACAGTGAGTGTTAGACACAGTTTCCAGGTATTATTGCAGCAAAGATAAGACATTTCAAAAATAATTAAATTAAATTTGTGAGAGAGAATCACTCGACTTACTTAGTAGTATGTATTGTCTACGTTATACAGATACAAGGCAGGCAATAAGCAGAGAATTACATAGTACGGTATGCACCACTCGTAGTGCACGCGTTCTCTGCATCACATAGCCAATACGTGGGAAACGAGGAGCGAATCACTAGAGATGCGCTTTTACTCTGAGCCTGACCTGAGTATCTATTTGCGCCTGATCTGAATATAAAATGCGGTGTAAACTGAAAAAATTTACGGTTATGGCACTTTTGTTCATATAATTTTTTTTTTTTTTTTTACCAATAAAGCCGTAATAACGAAAAACAACTCGGCATAAACTCAATTCCAGAAGGCTTCTCTACTTATCTATACGCTACTCATCGCATGGTTATCGTTTTTTATCTTTATTCATTTTCTACGTGTAATAACATATTATGTGGAAAATACATATGAAATATTCCCTTGCCTTGTACTCTATGGAAAGGCAGATTTTACAATTTTCGGTTATGTTCTTTTTGTGCTTTATTTGAAAACCGTATGTGTATGTAAATGTACGTCTTAATGGAATAATTAGGTTTACATAACAATTTACTTAAATCTAACAAATAAATGACACAATAATAAACGAACACAACAATGACATTCTCAGTCTTTCATGGTTCAAAAAGGGAACCTAATGCATGAAATTGTACTAACTTAACCCATCTCATGTTTCCTCTCAAGCCGTTTTCTTCTAATTATTATAGCATCAGGTTTATGTTCTTTGCATTGCATAGGTTTATTGCAGCATTATGTAAGGATATTAAAACTGTCACTTTTAAACGGTCTGCATTGATTATGGCAGGCAATGGAACGAAAGAAATTTCACTTAAAGGAAAATAATATAATTTACTATAAGGTTGCGAAGACGGAAGGAATGAACAGTGAAGGTCGTACATTGGCAAATAACTTGAATATTAAACCCTATATCTGCTAATCAGTTTAAAAAACTAAGACTTGGCGTAAAAAGAACAAAGTATTTTATGAATAGTAGAAGGAGCTTAAAAGGATTGCTCCAGTAACGGCGCAATAGTGCTCAATGAACAGAGAATGCATTTAGTTAGCGTAGAGTATTTTACCTAAGTGACCGTATTTTCTTCTCTATCAGTAAACACATTCAAATCCAAAAGTTCTTAAACGGTGAAGCCACCGCAATAATATAAAAAAATAATTTTTTTTGGTAATTTTACTGGGACGTTAAAAAGGAAGTAGAGTAATAATGTTTGATAGGTGCTTGTATTCATTTTGAGGCGCGGCTTTTGCATCTAATAGTGATAAAGAAATAGGAAATACCAGTGATGATTTTGACCTTTCTCCAACTAAGATAAAAGTTTTCTATTTAATGAAGTAGAGAGAGAGTTTAGGGAGTAGAGAAATCTGTGGCTGAAGCGCCTTAAACACTTTTAGAAGTTTAGGCTGATGATGCTCCATCATATCACAATTTTCGGTTTTGGTTTCACTGATTTAAAAGTGGTGACACGAATTGTTTGAAGGTGCCACTTTTTGGCCTCTTGATGCAAAAGTTGTCAAAGACAGAAATGGGAAGCTCTGCCGCAACCAGCGTTTTCACCAGACATACTTACTACTTGTTCGGATCGGTGCAGCATGACTTGGCTGGCACGCCGCTCCGCAAAGTTGAAGAAGTTCGAAAATGGGTCGTTGATTGGATCCCTGCCAAACCAATATACGTTCTTTCGACGCAACATCGGCATGTTGCCAGAAACATGGTAAAATGTTTTAGAAAACGATGGAAAATATTTTTCTTAATAAATGCCTTTCTCAAAGCGGAAAAATTCGCAAGCACCTAATCTTAAAAAAAAAAAAAATATTTTTGAAATATATTGAAGAAATGCAAATTTTCAGAGTTCAGAGAGGGATTTCGTTTAAATTTGATTAAAGAAGAAAAAAGGAATCACTTCTTCATATCTCCATATCAATCGCCAGAAAAGTACGTAAGGAATTTTAAAAGTCTAGATTATTGTACGATTGGCAAGTAATTTGGTGAAAAAGGTCATTTAGCGAGCAAAACTTTGGTCAAAGAAAAACGTTTAAGTCAGTCTCTCTCACTCATTCCATGCGTACTTCTCCTTAGAATGTCATTTTAAGGATATTGTAAAAAATTTAAAGGGAAAGAATGGAACTTGTTGGCGCTTGTCGTTTTGGAAAATGGTGTTTTGAAAAAATCGCGCGTTTAAAGTTCCAATCCCCTGCTGTACAACTTTGTTTGGAAAATCACGTATTTGAAGATTTAAAATTTTTTAATTATTTAGTAATGCATATGTACACATATTATGGTTCTCTAACATCTCTCTGATTTGGTAACAAGCGAAGAAACAAATCCACACAATTTGAAATCAATTTACTACTGTAGGTAAAGGTTTGACGTCGTAACCGCTATTGGAAAGTCAGATGGTAGACGAAAAACCGTACAGACAGACATGGTTCTATTGATATTGTTATTCGCTCCTTGGAAGGTCAGTGGAAAATTTCATACGGTACAAACATTTGATAAATGTATTGCATCCATTGGAAAAGGGAGCGGGAAAAATAAATTAAAATTGTTTTTATAAATTAAGCATTCATTCATAAATGATTTTTTTTTTTTTTTGAAAGAAATCTCTACTTTTTTCTATCCTCATTGCGCCGATTGCTTAGCAACTAATTTTCCTCTTTTTTTTTAAAAAACAATTTTCTTTTTTAAATTAGGAAAATTTTTTCTCATAAACTTAACTGCAACTGAAAAGCATTTCATATCTTTACTCTGTTTATTTTTCTTTTTTCTTCTCTTCCATTCTTTTGCGCAAACGATTGTATTGTATCCGATTATCTATGCTTGTATTTGCGGGTGTGTGCCTTCGTTACAACTACAACTACCATTGAAAATAAAAAATTTCATAAAAACATCTAAACACACAATAACTTGATTCAACCAAACCACGATTAATCACACATAACAACTTTAACTATAATTACAAATCACGTTCATCATCTTAAAACTTATCACAAAAAAAAAATTTAAAAAAAAAATTAAAAAATTATTTCGTTATCGTGCGTAATGGCAACGAATAAAACAAAATAACTGAACTCTTGTCGGAAACATGAAACAAAACGGATAACCATGCACACGAATATATATTTGTGACTAAATTTTCGTAACGTAGGCTTTTAAGAGCTGAACTGTTATCATTGCGACGCAAAGGTGCTTTAAAAATTGGTGGAGCTTTAGTAGGCAATGGTAGTAGTACTGGTGTTGGTGTCAGTGCTCAACACTATGATAGCTCATCTATTATACAACAACATCAACATCAACATCAACATCAACAACAACAACAGCTACATTATTATCATAACCAACAACATTATCATCAACAAGAACAATATCAGCATCAACAACAGCTACAGCAACAACAACAACAACAACATCAACAGCAACAATATCAAGTAGAACATAACAATCATAATCGTACCGCTCATCCTGCGCCATACGAATCAAATCGCCACTGCGCCCGATGCAATATTGAATTGGGTCGAATTACAAATAGAGGCGCGCCGTGTCGTGTCTGCAAGCTAAGAGTATGCAAGGCGTGTCGTGAGTTTACTACACGCACCACCGATTGGGTCTGTGTTGTCTGTCACAAACAAATGTAAGCTAAACAATTTCTGTTTCTTTCTGTTTTTCGCATTTTTGTTATCTTTTCTTTGTTCGTTTGATTCTTTTGAAAGCTGCCTGCTCTCCTCTCCTCTCCTTCTCTTATTTATGTTCTTTTTATTGAATTTTTGTCCATGATATGCATGTTACTGTTTAAAAATGAAAATGAATATGTTTTGTCGAAGATCGACTGACGTTATCCACATAGCCCGTAAGAAGATAAAACAGAATAAGTCTATCATTCGCTTTAGAACGCCTGAAAAGCTACTCATTAAATTCTATATAAGGTGTTTTTAATCTACGTCAATTCTTTGTCGCAGTTAACTTTGCCGCGCACACAATTATTGACGTTAGTTGCATAAATTAAGATAAGGGCTTAATGCCTGATATAGGCATAACTAACTTAATAACAAGTGCGTGTTCAGAAAATCAATTTTTATTTTATCATTTATTTATAGTTGTATTGTTTTCGCTACACTGGAATATATGTATGTACTGAATGTTATATGAACTACTTTGTCCAATCCATGTTCAATAGCCTATCTGTGTAAGTCAATGTATCGCATTTCATCAAAATATCTCAAAAATTGCGATCTGCAGGTTGGACAAGCTTCAAGCGGGCAGGCGGAGACACAGACAAACAAACAAGCATGCTTAAATTGATTCTAAATAATCTAACTCAAGTTCACCCTTACCATCAGTAGGGCGGAATATAATTAATTGGTAAAAAAGTTTAGAGAAATTATATCCAGCTATGGCCGAACGTTTTATACCCATCGCCTTTTTATTTTTAAACGTGCAAAAAATTATATTTCGGTACTTAATACTGTTGGGCAGATGCAGCCGGTTTTTTTCATTAATGTGCAGACGCTATAGAATCCCCCATAGCATATACGGGAAAATTTTCCGAGCTACAACCAATTTACGATATAAATAATAAAAACTTCTATTTTTGTTTCGAAATATAGGAGGTGTTCCTAGTTTATGTCTACTGTGAGAGCGTCATTTGGCCGATTTCGCCCATTCTTATTATCCAACTGCTTGCAATAACCCGTAATGTTTTGACAGATAGACGGACAAACGGACACACTATAAATTGAATTTGATACTGATCAAAAAACCGCCTTAAGTTGGTAAAGGATGTTCTATCTCATTTTGTTCCTATTATGTTTTATACTTGTTTTTCATTTCCGCATTTAAAAAGGGAGTGTAATAATGACAGGACGCATTACATATTCCTTTTTCATATTTTTATTTTCGCTGTCGTAGGGTGTGCATGAAATCCATAGATACCATAAAGTTTATATAGGCACTATACGTCCGATTTTCTGTGCTGAGTTGCCACTCTATTTTTTTGGAAAATCCATGCATCCCTTCTCGCAGCTATGATTCTGTACATGTAGTTGTTGCTCGCATTTTCGTCAGTTCATCTATTCGTGGAGTTTCGAAAAGGATATATTTTATTAATATTTTGTTATTGGGTCCTTGAATTTGGCAATTAGTAGCAAGAATCTACGATGTTTCTATATTTGTTTTTTGTTCCCCATCGTCGTGCTGCACCTATTGTTATCAAATTATGTTGTGAAAATAACGATTTCGTAAACTTTTCGCATTACGCTCCTAGTAATCGTAATGAAAGGACAAAAAATTTGGCTTTATGTCCCTTCGATTACTTTTCGAATACAAAAGAAGCGAAAGCAATTTTGATTTAAATGAAACGATTAAATACTCGAAAAGCAATTACAAGTAGCACAGCACAGTGTGCTGTGTGTGAGCAAAGACTTCTCTTACAAGAATATTTTTTTATACAAAGAAAAACCTCTAATTAATAGCCGATTCGTCCCATTCTGTGACTAATTGGCAATTTTGCACTTTTAACGCTTTCCACTCCTACGTCGTCTATGTGTCGACATAGTATTCCTTACACCGACTCCTATGTCAAGCTAGCCTCGACATTTTTCTTTAAAAATTTATTTTGGTTCTTTCAATTACTAGACGTGCCGCATTCCGCATACCTAAGTTCTTATTTTCTTATTGAGACCACTTTTTATGCCTTTTTTGCGAATTAATTAAGCAGTTAATGCTATTTAAAATGGCAAACAATTAGGATAGCAAAGTGTTAAGAACTTACAGTGCTTATCAGCGAAAAACGTCAGCAATCAATTACGGTTTCAAATATTTATAATTATTTGAATGTTCACCACCCATTTGCGTACGTGTTTGCGTATGTGTTTGTGTGTAGTGTATGTGAGAAGAAAAATACCTTAAATAATTTTCAATAATTTATATCGCATTATTAGATACGGCTTACAAAACATTGCCTACCCATCCCGATATACAGTACCTCGGCTGTCGTTGTGTTGAACTATTCAAATTCTAATGCTTGGTGTGGTTCATCATAATGATCTGCTAGTTATCAGAACCATTCATTCGAGACCGTAATATTATGCATACGGAATAAGTTTTATATACCCAAAAAGAAAAAAAGCCCCAGTGCCAAAGCCAGCATAAATAAATCCATTCCAGTTTCTTATTATTACATTGGTGTCAATTAAATTTTATTAAAACTTTATTTTCATCTCAATCGAATATTTATTACCAAATAAATTCGTGAATATGTTATTGAAAGAAAAAAAAAGTAAATAAAAATAACTATAGAATATAATGTGTTTCGTTCTGATAACTGATAACTGAATTCATTATTTTGCTTGTATTTATGTTTGTTTGGGGATTTCCTACAGCAGTATACCCAACAAAGATGTCTATTTTTATCTTCATACACATACGTATCAGCATATGCAAAGCAGCATATATATATATAACGGATCTCTTTTTCTTATTCCTTTCGTATATTGCCTGTGTATTTCATGTCACTAAATATTTGTTTTTAATTTCGAAAAAAAAAAAAAGCTTAACCAACACTCATTCAATAACAACAAATTTTATGATTGAGAAACGAAATTCTGGTTCTTTTCGTTTCCTTTTTTTTTATCCTTCGAAAGGTAGCTACCCCGAGCATAAAAAAAATAAAAAACCCATAGCAAGGGGAAAAGTATAAATATTACAAAATATCTTGCAACAAAATACAAGCTTTTTACAACCTTTACAACCCTTACAATGTTTAAAACTGGAATCGATTGTCTAGGAGTACGTGTGCAATATGAAAACGTATTGAATTGCACCACAAGTTGCAAGTTTGTAACGTTTATGTAAGAAATGGAGGAAAATATAGCTTTTTTCTTCCTTCTAATTCCTCTTCTTAGTTTCGACTCGAAAGCCAAATACTTTCGCTTCGTAAACAGTCACGCAATTTCATGTAGATTTTTAACCGAATCCAATGTGCAAACAATAAAATTTAAGTGAAAGCTTATTGCATTTCTATTGAATGATAACTGAATGATAAATAAAATTCTACAAAGTAAATAAAAGACAAAGAGAGAGAGACAGAGAGACGCTATCTAGTCCGTATATGGCGATGTATTTAGTACCAAACAAGCAAGGAAATCGTATTTGCTTTAAGATGATCTTACGGACGGAATCATCTAAAGCAAAATACACAAAAATCGAAAGTTATTCTACTGCATGTGGCTGGCCGGGCAGGATGATTTGAAATTGATTCATGATTTTAAGACTGAGTTTCAAACGTTTTTTATTCGCTTTTGTGTTACCACGTTTCCGAACAAGTAGCAACCCCTTTGTAAACTTGAGCTGCGGCATAAGATTTTCTTTCAAGAATTTTTCCACAAATTACAATGCCGAGGAAGGCAGCTAAAGAAAGCTGAGGACAGCTCGAGATCTTATAATGGTCAAGAGTAATATAAACAACAAAAAATGTTACATTACGGCAAGGCCGATAACTAAATGTACTTCGCCCAATAAAATTGTTCATCTATTTTCGGAATGAAATACCGAAAATGATCTTTTTGTTCAATACTTTCCCTGTGAGGCCTTATACATATTACATTAGGGCAAGTCCGACCACTACATACACTTCGCCTAATACAATTTTTCATATGTATTTGTATGAAAATACCAAAAATTATCTTTTGTTCCAATACCTTCCCTGCGAGTCCTTATACGGGAAGAGACTCAAAACAGACGTTCTTCGTCTAAATACGCCATAAAGCAGTAAAAGCTAAACTTTGTCGTCTTGCGCAGGCTTGCATTTCGAGACAACCCGTGTATGGGGAGGGGTTAAAAAGAAGACCTACGTTGTTCAAATTTGCTTCAAAATTTCTATGCTTTTACAAATTTTTATTATGGACTAACTTTCATCATAAGACATAGAAATTCAGTCCCTTGTGTTAATAAAAATTCTTAAGTAGGAACGATTATATGGGAGGGATTTTGAGAAATTAACTGATTCGATCCAAGTTTTTTACATTTGTATTCAACGTATTTTGTTAAGAAATATTAAAAATTGAAAGTTTTTTTTTTATATAATTATTTTGTCAAAATAAAACTGCATTCTATACCTTGAACACACAAATACATGCAACGGACAATCAGACAGACGTACAGACTCACTTAAATCAGTTCAAAAAATGTCTCTGAATGAATTACTATAATAATACACGACGAGTGAAATATTAAACATTGAATGTTGTGTCGTTAAAATTGAACAAAATCAGTTTCAGTTCTCATGGCCACTAATCATGCGCTTCCTCATTGTGTTTGTAAACAAAGTTCGTTTCGATGTTATATCTATTCCCATAAATGTATTATACTTTGACCAGCGATTGCTATATGGTATAAAAAGAAGAGCTTTTCAGATGCTCTTCAATTCTTAAAATCCTAAGCAATTTGATGTAAGCAAAAGAAATTTATATAGATATTATAATAAAAAGCATAACTCCGACTCCGCAAGGTTTAATTATCCTTCTCCTACTTTGATTGAATATATGTGCGTATACGAAGGAAATGGCTTCTCAACCAAAAGAAATCGATAAATAACCCAAACAGATACTCTCTTAGTCTCTGATCACACTCAAAGTGTGTTAACTTATACTTCCTTCAGTCCTGTAAGTAAGGAAAAATACTAAAGGTATTTTTGTGATTGACATAACATATTTCGCTGCAGGTTTTCAACCGTCAGCGCCGTCCCTATTTATTGTTTCCCTTTTGTAAAGATTTATTAAAAAAAAAACGCTTGAATTGACGTCATGTTGTTATTTAAAATTGCCACAGTTTTCGTGTAATTTTCATATATAACCGCGCATAATCTCCAATTAACGGAATGTCACTTTTTTCTTAAAATAATTCATTATTATGAGACGTTAATAAGAACACATTTTACTGAAGAGTGCCCAGAAAGTTTAATGTTTGATAATCAAAGTTTTTTCAATTGCACTTCTACAGGACGTAATACAGTAAAAAATCGGTTAAATCGGTTCGACAAAATTTATTTCTATTCTTCTTAGCGGCCATTGCAAACACTATATCATACTTAATGGAATTGAACGTCATGAACGCTTTGTACGTTTTGAATACTTGTCTTATTTGACTTACTTGACTTATTGTGACAAGTAGAAAATATTAAAGGCTTAATACTAAGCTGACTAGGATATGTGTGGAAAGCAGATTAGACGATGTCTTCAGTACATAACAATCAAAAAGTAGGCATTTTTAATACAAACCGGTAAATTTATCTCTTCTGTAATTAAATATCATATGGTAGCACTCGTCAAGTGTTATGATTGAATGTGGCTTATGACATTTTGTATGCAATTGCTTTTTAGCCTGAAGAGTTTGAAGAGATAGCAATGATAGGAATACTACCAAAGGCGTTATCTCTATTAACGTTGACTAAAAGAAATGATTTTTTTGCGTCTTCGCTGTTTTAACCGGTAATAGAGGACCTCCTATTCGTATGTGATCAGAACTTTCCTCCAAGTATCTTTTAACCGATTCTTAAATTGTTTTAACAAATATGATATTTGTGTGTTTTGGTAAGTGAGTAACAAAAGTATGTACAGCTATAACCTCGTAAATGACATTCCGTAAGGCAATGTAAAGAATACATATCGAATACGAAGATGTTTTCAAAAAATTTCTATTTTTACAAATCTGGAGAAATCTAGAAATTATGGTCAACTTCAGTCAAATGCATTAATGCGTACTAATAGCTTGTACTTGTATACATAACGCATCATCTGCATAGCAGATCCATTTATATGATGTACAATCCATTTCCTCACGTAAGCTCCTTTGATCGTCTCCTATAATGCGTTGTATAGGAGTGTGTGTTTTATAAAACTCATTATTAATGCCTTCTTTTGAACCTGCTTTAAGAGCAACTTGAAAATAAATAAAATTGGACTATGACTTGAGGAAGAAACTATGAATTAATAGAAATTAAATAAACTTGTACCGCCTTATATAGAATCGCAGAAATGAGCAGTAAATTAAAAGAAGACATGCATCTAGTATTTACTCGTTTTAAGGGGCATTCGTTGATAACTGAAATTGAAAATAATTCATAAATATGAACAATGAAAATTTAAAATATCTAATAAGTACCGCCAAAGAAAGGGTTTTTCAACGCATTTAAGTTGTTGCAATGTTCTGGTTGGAAAGCGCGTTGCAAAGAGAAGCATTACTCCAATTGTTGATACCTCATCATGGTATAAAAACACCGGGTCGCAGCAGACTTGACTGATTTATACTTCCCATTACCATACTATACACTGTTTATACATTTATTTTTCAAACTTGACATGATCAACTAATATGCAAAAGGAAAAAAAAAAAATTTCAAAAAAAAAACGTGTCAGGAAAAATTTAAATTAGTAGGGAAACAAGTATTTGAAGGAAAAGTGGAAATTTGCTGGGATATCTAAGACCTGAACCACAAGTCCTTCGACTTAAATGATAAAAGAATTGAAATAAATAAATGACACCTTATCGCGATAACAGATATAGAGTCCGCTATTCAAGCTGATCGTATATAGAAAAGTACATATAAGCGGTATAAAACAATTGTGCTTGTACGCATTGGAAAGCGCTAGGTGTAATGAAGAACTAGCCGAACTCCTTCCTTTAGAAGTGCGTGCTTCTTCCAGTATGCATGCATTTTTTGAGTGAACATCCTTAATCCATCCAGTTAATCTCAGCAATCGAAAAAGAAACAAATGAAAAGATCCGATCTACACGTCCTATAGCAGCTCTCATGGAATATACGTTCAGATTTTTGTACATTTATTTGCTATAGTTAATAAGCAATGAGCCAAAAGCCAATTCTTTATTCCTTTTGAAAAACAGAGGTGCTCTTAGCTTATGTGATGCTGCGGACGTGGGCGTCGGCCGATTTGGCCCATTTTCAAGATCAATCTGCGTGCCAGAACTTCTAATGTCCCTGCCAAATTTGAAGTCGAAAGCTTCATTTTTGCGGTCGGGAGAGGAGGTTTACAGCAGGCATTATACAGACGGACATACCGACAAGCTGAAATTGATTTAGAATTTGATGCTAATCAAGAATATATATATGCTTTGTGGGCTCTCCGATGCTTCCTTCCGAGCGTTGCAAATGTTTTGCCAAAATGAATATACCACTCATCCTACGGTGTTGGCTATAACACCAACACGTGAGTAAAAGACATCTTACAATAATTAAAGACGTATATGTGCGAGCGTGTATGTGTGTGACAAGTCACAATTCCGTACTTTATTAGTTATGAATCTATGGCATGGTATTTAATTAAAAACATTATTGTAAAGCTATTGCCGAAAGTTGCATAAGTAATAAAACCACGTTGTCTTCTTATCCTAAGTTCTTATGTTGAGAAAAATCTTTCCGTTTCGGTCTTATTTTCATGCGAGCTGAGTTCAATAAAATGGTATATATTTAAATTGCGTAAATATTATTGTCATACTTAAGAAATATTATTGTCAGATTTAAGAAACACGTGCTGACTATAATTTGTCATAACTGGAAATGCTGTAAACCTATCTCGGAACAAAAATATATTAATTTATTGTTATTGCAATTATATAAGATCATAATGTCAAGCACGTTCCCAGCTGAGTGTAAGATAATATCGCCACCAAGTTGTTAAGTAAAATCTACGCCAAAATCAAATGTTCATAGTTTTGATGCACAGACATAGAGTCACGTAGACAAACACTCGGTTAAGTTGCCTTTTAAAGAAAGACAAATTAATAGAGCAGCTAATGAAATCATTTAATTAGTTGACCATATAACATAAGCATTGTTAATGTACATGAATGAGTGTCTCTCTCACTGGCTAGATAATCAAACGTATGGATTAAATACAAATTATATGCACGCGGAGAGAAAACTCACTTAATTTATTTGTCTGTAGGGATTGATTAACAATTCTTTTTTAGTGCATTTACATATGGGTGCACATGTGTTGCTATATTTTTTTTTAATATTTTTTTCTTTTTTATTAGATATTCTACATTAATGCAAATACATATTTGAAACCCACCAAAGTCTGCAAAAGAACAGTAGGTTGCTAATATACTTTTTTTGTCTCCTCTTCGCAAACAGTAGGTATTATTCATTCGTCACTCCTGTCGTAAGTTGGAAAACTAAACATACATATAGCACGATTCAATTTTGTGCAGAAAATGGAAAAGCAATATCAGATCGCTTTTGGCTTGGACAGACATTTAAAATATTTTTTATTTCCTTTTTTAAATTTTTGTTGTCTACCATCTACCAGCCATTCGAATATCTGTCCACCTTTCCTTCTTGACAGATATCAAAAGTACGGAAAGAAAGATTGGCAAATATTCTACATTCTTAAATATATATCGTTCCAGTTGAAGCAGAAAGGTTATAGCTGCCTTACGACCACAACAGTCGAACAACTTAAGTGGGAAAATAAAAACCAAGCATTTTTAGATTGTGTTATTGTCACTACTATTGATCGGCATTATAAAGAAGTAAACCTGGTCAGAAAGTAAATATTTCTCCAAGCACATAAAGCTTCCTTACTTCCTATCCGGTGTCATAGACAGATTCGGCCGCTGCTCTTTACCAAATGCGTTTATATATGCTTTGTCTTGATCGCTGCACTCTTAGTTGATATTCAGAAGCGGAACTTCAAATATCTTCAAATTGGCTAAAGAAATGAAGAATATCTAAAAGATTAAAGTACTATTAAGAAATTAGTGAGTCCCTTGAGCGGACAATTTGAAATTTGTCATAGCTATTTCCATTAGAAATGATATAGATCGCCCAGCAGTTAATTAAGAAAAATTTTCCATTTCTCTGGTATTCTATCTCTAGTGGTGGGTACGCAAAATTCTTTACCAACGCATGGAGTTGCAATTTTCTTACTAATCTTATTTTTTTATATTTTTAACCACAAAACACTGGAGCGTCAAACCAGCATATTGACAATAATTGTGATTGTTTTTGGTTTTGAGTAAACTCTCACATGCACACCATATTTGGTTGTTCGACAGTTTGCAGCTTTGCTTTGCTTCGTTATTGAATTCTGTGTATTTATAGCAACGTCTTACCCACCTATATGAGTTGGCGTTTTAGTGGATCTCTATTAACACCATCATCAATGCACCTACCATCCGCTATATCTCAGTTATGGAATAAATATAAAAAAAGAAGATAAAAAAAATTCTAATGATGTGTAATGATGCCTATGGCTTGTAAACAATTGTCATAATTTATAATCAATTCTAAATAAATCTAAGAGTTCTATGAGAGATTTTTTATGTTGTTTACGCAGATGGAAGATATTCGTTGTTGTTTTACTTGCTGCGTTCACACTTGAAACATTTGAATATTATGTCATTAGTGATTTACCGCATGATTTGAAGTCGTGGTCGTGTTTTGCATTCGGATACTATTTGATGCGTTCGAAAGAAAATGTTTTCATTTTTATTTACTAAATTGAACTGCTTTTCATCTTGCAGGGAGATTCAGGCTGCCAGCCGTGATTGGTTAGGCGATCTCACACAAACGTCAAGTGATAGCGTTGGCGACCATTTGCCCACTAGCGATGTATTAAGGAAAAGTATTCGACGTTCCTGGACCATATCAAGTAAGTGCATGTACTTTGTCGTCATGAAGAGTAAACATAAATTTATTTATTGTCTTGCAGACGCGGACGACGATCCTAATAATCCCAATGCTCAAAATCCTGTTGCTAACAATCTCTATCCGCAACAGCAGAATCTCATCGAAGGCCAAACAGCAGGGAGTTTTCCATCGTTAATTGTACGTCATCATTCACCACGTAATCATCCTATGATTAACTACAACACCGGTAGCGCTACAACCATTGCGGGTAATATCGGTACTAATCAAACGCCACCACCTTTTCATGTGCATACGCAACGGCGTATTTTACGTCAATCGACTTTACCTACCACCTTACCGAATAACGAATTGAATTTGCGTAATAGCGGCAGCAATCCAGAACATTACAATAATGTTAATTTAACTGCCCCGACATCACCACATCAGCTACACCAAACTCCCTTTTATTCAGGCGACTATAATAGCGATGATGTTCTAAATATTGAAATTAGCAGTGATTGTGATAATTACGCGCAAGCTCCAACATTGACGCAAACTCCTCAGCTAATTCAACAAACAAACATAGTGCAATCCTCAAGTGTTATCAATACGCCGACACATCACCGTTTACAGGTGACTATGAGATGTTAAAGCAAGTTTATATATAAAATTTATGTAACGTGCTTCCTCCTTTTTAGGTGCGCCGACAATCGACACTTCCAGCTAATCCGTTATTTATGTCTACATCACCAAATCGCGCATACAGTCGTTCACCAGAACGTTCACCAGGCGAACAACAGCGTTATCCTCCATTTGTCAGACAAACTTCTTTTCCATGTAATCTCACTGAACCTCAAGTTGCCATAAATCAGACTTCTTTGCATTTAGGTAGCACATCCATTTCTACATACCCTTCACCAATGCACAGAACAAAAATGCTACCCTCAACTGTAAATCAGCCACAACCGCCAACACATTATCAAGAGCAATATGACCAAACAATCAATCAGCCAGATGAATCAAATATTTTGAATAAGCCGCGTATAATGCGCCAGGCCACGCTGCCTAATCCAGAACAGCATATTAAATTATTACCCACCTCACCGCCAAAGCGTCAGACCTCCCCGCAATATCGACGTTCTCCCGAGTTTATGCGCCAACAAACCTTGCCCAATCCGGAAGCATTCGGCAGTAACTCCCTGACAGTGCAAGGGCCGGCTAATCCTGCTTCACAAGCTAAATTTTTACCCATATCACCGTTACAAAAGCAAAATTTTCTGTTTCCCAATGTGCAAAATCCTCGTCAATTTTTGTCCCAGCAAAATGTCCCGGCCGTAGATGGAGCAGACCCCGTTGTTGGTGGTACCGGAGATCAATATTCCAGCAGCCAGAGTGTAAATATTCATCACTCGCGTGACCATAATAAAATGATGAAGGTGCGAAGTCATAGCAATGAAGAGTATTCCATAACTAAATCTCATCATTTGGAAAACCGCCGTCTGTTGCCTGAAATACCTACAGCTGGTCGCTCTATGAATCGCTCTCCTAGTCGATTAGTCAGGCAGGATTGCCTCAAAGATGACCGCGGAACAGCGACGCATGGAGATCACCGTACTTTCGGTGAAGCCAAACAACAATTCCATCAATTTCAGAATGTGACCGAAGAAGATGATAATCGACCGGAGTACATGGATTACTTTGGTGACAGTTCAAGCAGTTTTCTCGAGTCAGATGAAGTGCAATACGAAAAAAATTACAATACCGGTTTTAGCAGCGAGCCACGCATTATATACAATGACGGTTCAGACGACGCTAGTTATCAACCCTATCAGCGCCCGATGGTACATAGTGCTGAAAATATGATGACAGTTGAACAAAATTATATCTATTACGGACCAGAAGGTGATAGCCTAGGTGCAAACCTAACAGCTAGTGCTGCTGGAGTTTTGCCACGCACACCGATCATACACAACCGTTTGAGACGTAGGCAATCCAGAGATTTACCTATGCCGGCGGAGGAGTTGTCACAGATTTCGGGCGCTGCTGAAACACAGCAACCAGCAATAAGTGTAGCTGTTGACGAGAAAAAACCGGCAGAGAAATTTAGCGAACGCCCTAAGCCGGAACAAATGCGATCGGTTTCAGAGGATTCCGGTTCTAAAGATAGTATACCAAAACCGATGCCTCGACGTTCGCTATCACATCCCGAAAAAGAAACTCAAGTGAGTAAATTCAAAGATGAACGTGGTGAGAAGGTTCAAGAATTTTCTTTTCTTTGTATGCTTGAAGACTTCTAAAAAGGTGGAACCAACTAAGATACCCAGCCCTAAGCCATTAGCTGACATACTCGATAAAACGCGACCAATTAGTAAAATACCTACGTCTACAAGAAGACGTAGCAGTCGTGGTTCTATTACAAACGATGTTGAAGATGGTAAGTTTTTGAGGAGAGTGAATGAAATCTAAAGACGAGAACACGTCAAAAGGAAAAATATAAGCATAAGAGCATAAGAAAATTTATTTTTCTATCCCCAGGTGGTAATTTGAAATACTACGTAAACGAAAAAAGAAATTCCGAATTATCCGCAATAACGAACAACAAACCATTAACAGACGAAATTCAGCAGCAGCAGCAGCTAGACGAAACCAGTAAAAAGCGAACAGAGCATCCGATTACGGAGAAAGCTAATAACTTAGGAACAACAGAGCAACAGCAACACGGCAATAAAATCCCTGAGGATGAGGAGAAAAAGTCAAACGATAGCAACACAAAAGACAATCAACGACAGCAGGAGGAACAAAATAACAATAACAATGATAACGACCGAGAGGGGAGAAGTTTAACAGTAGCAAAGGTATATAATGCAATAAATATTTACGGTTTTTTTTTTTTTTTTTTTAATCCATCCCTACACAAACTACTCTAGGGTGATATTAAAAGTAAATGTTAATTAATTTAATTTGTCTCGTAGCAAACGTATACCTCCACGCTGGGTGAACAAGAAATCCAAAATGCTGTGGAAGCGGCAGCAGTTATTTTCAAAAAAGTAGTTTTGCAACGTCGTCAAGAGAAGAAGGCGGCAGAAGAGGGTAAGTTGGTTGCTCTTCCTCACTTTATTAAACTTCCCTCTGCATGTATTTTCTACTAACTACTATCCTCTGATTTAATTAGTCAGATAAAAAAATTGACATCGTAATGTTTTCTGCTAACAATTACTATTATACTCAGTCATTATTGTTACTAATATAATATGATTGGAGCGTGCTTATGTAACTTTATGGGATTTTGTTAACAAAAGTATTAGCACAAATTAGTGCTTCAGACTATTTGTAAATGCTATTTTCCTAATTACTGTGGTTAAAGTATCCTGTTTATTATATACTTTCGTCACCATTTTCGCGCGTTGCCCCAGCTTGGATTATCTTTCTAAATGTAGCAAATTTCAAATTTTAATTTTATCGATTACTTTTTGTGCATTGCATTTACTCTTTCTTACATTTTAAGCTACTTTTACGAATCAGAAATCGGAAAATCTTCTTTCCCTATCAGACCGTATAGCAAAGAGTAAAGAATTTGAATATGCTTTTCGAAGACTTTAAAGACTAATTCGATAATAGTTTGTAGATGTATTATCACTTTACGAATTAGCTTTCAAACTATAGCAAAGTAAGGAGTATAGACTGTATAGGCGACATGGCAAACTCACCAAATCAGACAAGACAGTCTAGTAAAAGAAGATATGGATCGGATGGAAAGTGAATTTTTTTGTTAATCTGTTAAGATAAAAGTAGAAAATAGTTCCTATTCAGGCAAGGATATTGCCTTCATACATTGATGCTCAGAGAGTGATTTATGAAAAGTTCGAACCTAAAAATGAAAAAATTTAAAAGGAAAATCAAAAAAGGCACACATTTGTTCCGAGACACCTTAGACGAATTGTAATAAACAATAGTACATACACCAGCAAAAGACAAAGCATCGTCTTGATTGCTTCCTCAAGCCTTTACCAACTCCTTAAATATGGTCCTACTGTTCACTGTCAATAACGTACGTTTTTTTAGGTCAAACAAAGGTAATGCTATACTGCAATTATAAAGGTGAAGAAATGAAAGTTAGCTGGATACCAGCACGTCTGGTAAATTGCTAGAAAATTTGAAAAGAAAAATATAAAAAGTGATAATTTTAAAGCCTTATTCTTATTAACCTGTAAGACTCCTCTGCCTTCGTCTGGATCATCCAAAAACTTCTAACTTTTATACGTTTGCTTAGGGTTATGGATATTTGAGATGCATCTTTCTTAATAATTTGTATGTAGTAGCATAACACTCTCAGAAGTATACATCCCCATATACCACCGCTTTTTCCTTTAGGGTTTCTAAGAAATATATGCAAGCAGGAATACGATTTTACCTTTAAATCGTTTAAAGACTTTTGCGTATACATCACGGATATAAGCACAGAGAATGTAGCTGATAAATAAGTTTATTTAAACGGAAAAAAATATATCTTGGAATATGATTTTAAATAATTTGCTAGCGTCCCTTTGGTGAGAGCATCTCGCTTGCTATGTAGTGGCGCACGTATATTGAAGCTAAAGGATCACATGTATAGCTATTGATTTATATGATAATTTGAATTGACATAGTCATGTCCGTGCACCTATTCATTATTAAACTCGGCAAAATTCCGAAATTTTAGGTGTAGAATTAAGGTTTCTCGTCAATAGATCCTTGCTTCCACTGCATAGCTTGAAAGTAGGCTACAAGAGCTGTTATACTAATTTAAAAACCGAGATAATTGTACAGGGAAATTTGCGGACCATAACCAGAATATTTATAACTGCGATGTTAAGATTCAGCATGAAACTCGTTACCATTTGGAAGCTTAACATTCTATAACGTAAAGGAAATACAGGACATTAGAGATAATTAAATGAAATGATATGCATTATTATGTACGGCATTTCCAAAGACAAAGACGGTTAAAAATGTAGATCTGGTTTATACAACCAATGAACTTCGTATCAGCATATGTTGCACCGAACCATAAAAACACAGAGTTATGAAGCAGATAAAGCCATGTTCTTCTAACATATACTCAAGACTTTGTTTCATATAAACCGTAATTAAATCTGTACAATATAAACGAACATATATGTAGTTATGTGAGCATAGACTAGGGAATTTATACTTTTAACTGATATCCAACGGACAATGTAAGAATTCCACTAAAACATCCGCTTTATGAACTGTGTCTTTATATGGGTTATGTAAATAATGCAAAGAGAGCTATGTGTAAACTAGTCGATGTCGTATAGACATATGTAAGTATGTATGTATGGATGGAAGTCACTACAATCTATAATATATTTCATGTTTCGCTATGTCCTAGGTATGTAAACTATTCCATCTTCACACATACAAACTGGAACAGTAAAAACGAACATTGATTTGCATTCGTTGATAGAAAGCAATTTAATGTTCTTGGTATTCAGAAAGTATTGGCTTGTAAGACAAAAAATAATCCTTTTAACGTTTGGCTATACACAGGTAAAAGAGCAATAAATCACTTGTTAAAATTCGTAGAGAAATTCCATCCCTTGTTTCATGTATTTTGCTGATGATGTTTTCTTTATAACAAAGAGGAAATAGGAAAACGACAATTCCCTTAACACAGAACAAACGCAAATCCCAGCAGTACGCATTGGAAGTCGCAACGCCTGTGATTTACATTTATGTACACTACATTACCGCAAACATTTCAGCCGTATCTGCGCCTTTAAAACATCTTTTAGTTAAAAAAAAACAAGTAAGAAATTATAGTCGGGCATGGTCGACCTTTCAATACTCTACATCACTTCGCTTAGTGCGGTTACGCGATCGTTTACAACACTTCGTCTGGTATAGTGATTTGCTTGTTTTCGTAATAACACATCAAATATTACACATAACAGCCCGCGTATTGAGGGATGCTTAAACATTATATGAACGGATGCGAAGTTGGCACACTTAATTTACTTCCCAAAAATTTTATTATTTTTCAGTTTCCGTCATAGAAAACAAGAAATTATACTTTTATTCCATATAGTGGCTTACTTACCATGATAACTCCTCTATATGTTGGGGTCTAAAAAATTGACTTATATTATTCCAATTCTCTTTTTTTTAATTTTGTCGCTAAATTCCTACTATGGACCAAATTTCATCATAAAGTTTTAAACATTGAATCTTTTTTTGAAGGGTTTACTATTTATGAGAAATCTTATATGGAATGGGGTCCAAGCAATAGACTCATTTGTTTCAAATTTAGTCCTCTTGCTTTTTATGTCAAATTACTATTATGAGTAAATTTTCATTACAACACATTAAAAAGTAGGCATGCAGGGATTGACATTTCTTGCGGTGGTATCCAAAAAATAGATTTACGTTGTCCAAATTCGCTAAGACCGGTTTCTTTGTCAATTAACTTCTGTGAACCAATTTTTACCATAAAGTATTGAAAATAAGACCCTTTTACCATATAAAGATTCAGTTTCCGTAGAAATAATTATAAAGGGTAGGGATCAAAAAATTGCTCCGGTTGATCCAAACTTTTCGTGCCAATTTGAATTGTTGAAATACTATTAATCAGCGACTTTTGTTGCAATTTTGAAAATTGTAGTTTTTTTCTCTAAATAACGAGTTTTCAAAAAAAAAAAAAGGAAAACGTTACAGCCCGGCTAGGGCGGCTAAAAATGCACTACACCACATTGTCTAATTCAGTTCTTATATTTGCCGTGGAGTGCAAAAATTACACCCTGCTTTTATATGAACTTGTTATTATAGAATTTACTCTAAAAATTAGACCAATCTGCAAATAGAGGCGTACTTTCCGTAAGAATGGTTATGTCCAAGAGGCTCCAAAATTCAGCACAGTTAATTTTTATGTTAAACTGCTATTATGGATCGATTTCCATCAGAAAATATTAAAACTTATACTTTTCTGCCCTAAAAACAATGAACAGCTTATATAGAGTAGGATTCAGGAAATAGGCCGAAGCGGTCCAAATTTGGTACAGTTAATTTTTTTATCTTACATTACTATTATCATTTCCACATGAAACATTGAAAATTAGACCTTTTCATAAGAACTTCAGTTTTCGTTATATGTGAGCATGTTCAAAAAAAGTACCCGAGCCTTAGCCACTTATGTTAAAAAATTTTGAGAGTTGCAAATTTTCGAAAAATCGGACCGGATGTGAACTATTTCATCAAAATATCTCAAAAATTACGACCTGTAAGGTCAAGACAAGAATACGTGTACAGAACAGACGCCAGACGGATAGGCGGACAGACCAACAGACAGATCGATTCCGAAATGAGTCTGAATTGATCGGTATAATAAAAGCTAGGACCATCGTAAGCCCCTCCGGATGTTACATATGTCCGCACAAACTTAATATAAGATGTACCGCAAGCGGTGCATGATATAACACAATCAGTGGGGAAGAGCGACATTTATATACCCCACACATGTCTCCCAAAACAATCAAATTTCGTCACAATATTTTATCAATTGCGACCTGTAGCTTGAACAAAAGAAATCAAGGGAGCCAGCTGGGCAGACAATCTTAAAAAGCGGATCTATATCAAGTCTTTCTGGGGCTTGCACACGCCCGCACAATCTTAATATACCATTGCACCACAACTGGCTTAGCGTACAAAAAACTGCAAATTGGACGATGATGCTCATGTCGTTGTCGTTCATGAGATTTCTCTATGGTTGATTTCCATAGCAAATTGAAGAACCTTTATGTTATACGAAGGCATGGGAGGTGGTTCAAAAAATTGCCATATCCGCTTCAAATTTTTCACACTTCAATTTGGAATGCGGAAGTACTAGTGCGTGGGGGCTTTTATCGAGAAACTTCACAAACTGATATTTTTTTCAATTTGTGTTCAGTGGAGCTTTTGCTGGGGCCCAAGCACGCCAGGCTACCAATTTTCATCAAAGTATGTGAATAATTGCGACCTATAGGGTGAATACAAAAGTGCAAGGGTACATAGGGACGGACAGATGGACAGACAATCTTGAATATGTTCCGAATCACGTTCTAAACCATATCCTAAATATTTCCGTATTACAAAACGTAGGCCGTACGTACAAAGTTTATGCTATCTATGCCACAAGTGGTGCTAAGGTAAAACAAATATAAGGTACTATATACGAAATTGAACTATTGCAACATATTATCGGTCGATAAACACAATTGGACAATTCAGCAATTTTGACGCCAATATTTCTACCATTGATCCTATGTTCGAAACTTTAATAAAAAATAGTTTTCTTTTACATGCCTGAAATTCCAGTTTTTCTAATTTAAAAACGCCTAACGATGCTGCGAAATAAACTTACCGTTATATACACCAACTCAGGCAGAATAAATAACCAAGCGCAGCAATTCACGACTCATGCTGTACACGATACAAAGTTTGCAGATTATAAATAAACAAACATTAGTTCATTATACCTAAGCGGCAATGGTTTGGCGTCCTGACTAATGTCGGCCAATGACGGCTTGTATTGAATTTTTTAAACCTTTGGTAGGATATGTAATCTGGTTGGAATCTGCTGTGAAGCAATCTTATAAGCAAGAATTTTAGCTACTTAAACCACTTGCAATGAAATCTAAGCAGTCAGCTTTAATTAGATGGTAAAACACATTTTACTGTTTATTAATAAAACTTGACACGAAATCAAAGATTGAAAGTTGGTTGCAAAGCAAAAAATTTTACATGAAGTACGCAAAGGGAAAATTACGTTCATCTTGTCAGTATGTTTGTAACAGTCAACAGAACTACATTTGAAGCAGCTACATAATGGAAGACGTGCGCACAAAGTAGGATAGAAGAACGAAAGTTGATTTCTGTCTAAATGTAAAATTTAAAGATGAATGTCCACAAGGACGCCTCCAATGTTAAGAAAAACCTAAAGAAAAAAACGATCTGAGATTATACCCAATCAGAATTGTTAAGGGAAGAAGCATGTATTTTAATGTTCTTCTTCGCTTATCGAAGAAATAAGAATTTAGGAATGACGACAGTGTACCAGAGTCGAATGAATGCTTGTTAGACTTGGGATCTCGTAACAATTAGAGATGTTCACTTCGCAGGTCTTCGAAACTTATTATAAGGGCCAGCGTCATTTTCGGCTTGAGGGCGTACGAAGTAACATACAGTAGAAAGGGGAGATTTGCGGATTGAAGATCAAAAATCAGAGAGCTTCTAAAGCTTATAAATCATTCTCAACGAAATACACTGAGCTTATTTAATTAAGCATGTCCGTCTGTTCCTTTGCTGCTGTCAAAATTTTTCCACTTACAAAAAAAAAACCAAATGTAAAGACTGGGGTGTGACGAATGTACTCTTAGGTAACAGTTACAGATCAGGGCTGACAATTGGAGTGAATCGCCTGTACAACTCAACATAACGCACCGATTATATATTATCAGCAAATACGATGAAAATAAAGGCCAAAATTCTAATGTTTAATTCTTCAAAGCAAAAAAATCCTGGGACGTTCTCAAGAAACGATGTACTAAGGTTCGCCTCAAGGTCAAAACTAACTTCTTTTAATTTTTAACCCAGTTTGCATAAAAATTTTCATATTTATAGGATAATGGAAAAAATTCACTTTTTAGCCCAAGAAAAATCAATACTTTATGGTAATAAAAATGATTTTGCTTTGATGCGAAATTGCTAGGATATAGTCTGTTCTGTACGGAGTAACATATAGAGATATCTCTGAGAGGTGTGTATGGCTTGAGATATTCATCTGCTTTCAATGGTCAATATGAAATATGTCATACTCCGCTAGTTGAGCTTCCTCGCTTAAGGTTATCAGTTACTTTAATGTTTGACCGAAAATGGGCAAAAGTAAATCTTGTCATGTAAAGTAAATCTTAATCGTATGCCAAAAACCGAATAATGGGTTCTGTGTAGAATACTCATGACTAAGTCATTTGCGATGATAGAGATCTGCTTTTATCAATACACGTGTGTTCGAAGCAAAGAAGAAATTGGTTGTGTTTTCTACCCAGACTTAAATATTTTTGGATTACGTAATTCATCAATGATTAATAAATTATTCATACACTAGCTGATGAGAATATTTTTAGGCAAACAGTTCCTGTAAAAAGTTCCTGATCAAAAAATTAAAATATAGGAAGCCAAAGGAATACATTTTCATACTCATAGCGAATAGAAAGCAGAATTTTTTTCACATGTAACGCATTTCATTCCGAATCTGCATTCACTAAAACTATTTCACTCAAATAATTACAAGATATACGTTCTTTACCATTCATAATCCTAATGTTTATATTGGCGAAGGGTTATTTATTGTTATTAGAACTAATTTACAATGACCGATAATGACCGGTAATTTGTGGGCGTTTGGTAAACTCTTGTGAAGCGTTGAAATTATTCATGCTCTTAAAAACAAATGTTTTTTTATCACTTAGTGTACGCATTATGTGTTTTATATCATACTCGAGATAAGTGTGTTTGGATATAAGCGCTTGTATATAAACTAACCTACAGAATATGCAATAACGGTGCCGGTGAAATATAGAACGCTTTAAATTAAATATATTTTAATATGAATGTGTTACCGCCCGTAGATGCCTATGATACAATGGAAACCTCTTCGGAAATGGAGTTTAAATCGATCACTATAAACCACGCCCACTATAATATGGAAGCCGATGAATTTAAATTAGTTTTCATAAATTCAGCAGATTCTGCTTCATCGTGCCGAGAAGATGACGAATTTGAAGATAGCAGTTCTTCAACATCTTCATCAACTCGTAATTGTAGTAGCATAACAATTGATGACTGCGATTGGGATTACTTTGAGCCGTCCATGATAAATACCAGTATCAGTAAACATATTCGCTATTCACCGCGCGTATCGCCGCTAGTTCGCAGACGTTATACGCGTGAATTTAAATCAAGCGATAGTACAGCTTCACCTACAGAATCGCCCCTCTTGTACCGGAAGCAACTTTTACATTGTCCACGAATTAAGGAAAGTGACACGGGCACGGATGAAGAGTTTCTAATGCAAGGAGAAAGTTCTAGTTCAGATGGCTATTTGACGCGATCGCCAACTAGCCGCGGTCAACATCAACTAAGCATGAAAACGAGGATAAAAACTCGTTTACTTAATAAGGAACAACATCACCCAAAATCTTATCGTCACAGTTCACCGCGCGGCAATGGGCAGGGACCACCGGATAGCTGCAGTTGCGGCGCTTCCAAAATTAGTCAAAAATTGGAAATTAACAAATCAAATGCGCATGTAACTCTTCAGCCGCAATACGTGCCAATACCGGTTCCCGTGCCAATACCTGTACCCGTGACTGCCTACCCGTATTGGAATCCCAACGAGTTGCCTTCACCTCTACATACCTTGCGTTCAGATACAGATGAAAAGAGTCTGTGCGCTTCCTTACAAAAACTTTGGAACTCTGCTGCCGGTTCCAATTTAGTCAACTCAACAGCCAGCACGAATAATTTACAAGCTGCTGCAGCTGCAGCTGTGGCTGCTGCCTACAATAATGCTGCCACCTACCAGCATTTAACTACTCATAAAATGGATAGCACTTTCAAATTTTCCGCGCCCGACTTGACTTCTTCCACGCACTCCCTAACTGGAATGACCCAATCGCATTGTTCAACTTCTTCTGGTTACGGTACCAACACAACCACCGGCGGTAGTCTAGAGACTTTATTAAATGTTGAAAAGCTCTCAGCTCACCACCAACCACATAATTTGTACCCACACCAACTTAGCCACCGCCAAACCAGAAGTAATAAAACATATGTTGTTAGTAATAGGAATTCGATACACACAATAAACGACAACAACAGCAACTTTAACGACGACCAGCCCCAACAGCACTTCTACCAGCCAAACGAGTATGCCGTTATCGATGACGGCAATTCAGACTGTCCGAAAACACCGAACGATCCAATAACGTTAGTAAGTGCAGAACCATTGTCGGGTTCAAATCACACTTTAAATCGCGCGGACACACGTGAATGTAGCATAACGCGCAAGGGTCAGATTGTTAACGAAACAATTGAAAATGAAACACTATCCCTGTCGCAGAGTAAAACATCAGGCAATTTAGATTCAAAAACTATACAATTCGATAACATTCGCATACGGTCAACTGATAAGTTAAATAATAATTCAACTTCAGTTAACAAAGATAACAAGAATTCAACGAATAAAACAAAGCAAAATACAGCAGAATTAGTTTTTAATACAGAATTAGAGAAAAATATTTTACATAAAGATAGAAAACAAGTTTACGGATCAAATTCTAGTACCAATGCTATTACCTCACTACCACCGCAACCACCAATAGTAAACACAAATGTAAAGTTAACGCATACAAGCACAAACGATACTTTAGGCAAACAAACTGCTTTGGCTAACAATTACTGCGAACAATTGCACGCCACCTTGCACAGTAAGAGGCATAATGCAGACGGAGTAACAGAGCAGAGCAAGAGAGCGAAAATAGAAACGCGTGAGAGTTTACCTCTCTCGGCGGATCGTTTTAACCGAAAACATAATGGCAATGAAAACGTAATACTAATAGAGGACCAGAATGGCAATAAAACTCAACATAATGATATCAGTGGAGAAGAGAACAATAAAAAATCTATAGAGCCGGTAATAAGTTGTTGGCCGCCTTTGAAGTCTTTTTGTTCGCATGATTTGACGGTGAATCAAAAAAGTTGTAACTCTGCTTCTAGGCACATTAGTGACAACTCATACCGCATTAATGATTGCAAAAATAAAGTAGATAATCAACTGCGAGCACCGAAAGAAAATGTGGAAAGTCAAAAACAAAAACATAAGCAAACCACCCCTTCCGATTGTACGACAGCTGCTGGCGTTATAAAAGTCTTTAATTTACACAAAATTGTACAACCTGCAGTTGTTGGCAAATTGCCAAACATAACGGAGGTGGCATCAACGATTAATTATTCTATTACCGCCGGCAAACACAAAGCGGCAGCACTTTCGATAAGAAAAACGACTAAAAATAGCCTCGATATGTTAAAAATTGGCAAATCAGAAGATCTAAACCCATTAATTGATGGGTACCTGCAAAGCGAACGAAATTTTTCTAGTTCTTCTTCGGAAGACTCTGAATCCGATATACAGTCGGAAAACGATAAAGATAAGAGCGACAGTTCCGAGAATAAATATTATAAAAGCAATCGACGTAAGTCAGTTCATCGCAGTTACGACATTGCGAACGACATCAGTAAGGATCTGATTGAAAATGAAAGAAATGAAAAGAATGATAACGGAAGCAGTAGTAATTTAAGTAGTTCCGATTCAGAATCTGTCAATTCTGATGATACTGGCAACGTAGCTGATCGGCGACCTCGCAGACGACGTTTCTGCAAAGTATTCGTTGTAAATCGGAAGTCGCGAACCCGTGGGATAAGCGGAAACTCCAGTATTTCGGACACGCAATCATCATCAGAAGCAAATGTCGAGGATTCCTCTGACAATAATACCGATACGGAAAGGTCCCACTGTGGTGTTGTACTGCGATGTATTAAATTATTTAACGAAGGTGTCGATAATGTAAATAAACGAACAAACGAAAATGCCTTTCCTTTGCACGAAAGTGATAGTTGCAGTAATTCAAGTGCACATGGTTTTAAACGTAATGGTGACAGCGTACCTGATAATGACGACGAATACGAAAGTGAATGCATTGAGTCGCATGTGGCAAGTTACGCGACTGAAGAGACTGCCAATGGCGCTTTTATAATCGACGGACAAGCAGACGATAATGATGGAGGTATAGTGCTAAATTCTGTACGATCGCTAAATACTGATGAAAGTGTAGAGGTGGCAAATGTGCCAATCAATGTTCTTAATGATGAACATAATAATGATGCTAACGATGATCATGGCACAGTTAGCAAGAAAGTGGCAAATGAAAAATTGCATTCGAAAAAGCAACAGCAAGAGCAACAAGAACCACAATTTGCAGCAATTAGTAAACAAAAAAATAACTTTAGCGCGTTAGGCATGCAATCGAAGCTTTCAAATGAAACGCGTGCGGTTGACAACGGTTCGATGAATTCAACAGTATCTCAGACTTTCGATCAATCACCGATGGACGCGGTCGATGCTTGTCAGGAGCTGGATAGTATTTCCAATGATGTGAATCGCCTCCTGACTATGACTAAGCAAAGTTCTGAATTGGAATTTAAATTGCAAAAGCTGAAACGTGATGTGGAAGAAATTAATCAAGATCATTTAACTGCAGCGCAGACCACAACAGAAACCCAAGCAATTGCCAACAATTTAGATAGTGAACCTGCGGCTTTAGAGAGCATTGCTAGGGCTTCATCACATTTATTGCGAAAGCATGTCTTACCTGAGGAAGTACAAACATTAGAGAAAAAATTACACAATTTGTGCTTTATGGTGAAAGAGGCTAAAAATAAAACTAAAACCGGTGTGGTAACTAAAACCAACCAAGAACAAAAACAACAAGAAAAAAGACAACAGCAACAAGAACAACGACAAAGTGAGTATAGAATGGAAGCATACAAAGACGTAAACAGTCATGAAATTCTAGCCGAGTATTCATCGCTTACTGCTGGCGTTGGTTCTAATGTGCAAAAGAAATGTGAGATAGAAAAAGTGGAAATACCTGTTGGCAAATTATGCACCACTGACTTCCATCAGTCTTTAATAAAGCAAGATGATGACGGCCGCAGCGACAACGACAACGACAACGATAACGATAACGACAGCGATAGCGACGTTTCAGCTAATCATGGCGGCGGTGGTTTATGCGATGACGTATTAAGTATTGAGACTGGCATTGTTTTTAACAGCGACCATAATTATACAAAACGTGACAACGAAGATTTTAAAATTAACTACGTGCACTACGATAAGCAATTTAACGATGACGAAGAGGAAGCGGAGGAGGAATACGAGAATAATATTAAAAGAAATATTGTGGAAAACGAAAGAGGAGGAGAAGAAGAGTACGACGTTGTTTACAATGACGAAAACAAATGCGAAGCAAAAGAAAACCAAAACAAAACCATGCAAACTAAAACAATATGCGATAGTGCTTTGGATAAATCTGAAAGTAGTAATACTAGCATTGCTGCTAACAGCACCACCACTATTACCACTACTACAACTGCTACTACTGCTATTATATGTGAATCGTATGTTTGCAATAAACAGGTACGGGTGTGTGAGGTTCAACAAGCAGCTGCTTTCGTCGACGAGGATGGAAGATTGAGCAATAAACAAAATTTAATAGAAAAACAAAACAACGACCAACAGTTCAGCGAAGCATGCAAAACAAATGAACTGCTTGACTGTTATTATGGTTGTGCGTTAGATTTACTAAACATCCGCAAGCCTCCCGCTTCCAGTAATTTTACAGAATACTTTATGGACTCGCTAGAGCACAATACTGCAAACATTCAATTAAACACAGGTAGAGAAGCGTTGCCGATGTCACAAGTAAAGAGCGAACCAACTTCAAAATCGAGAGATACTATTTCGCACTCGGAGATCAATCCAGCGTCGGTTTCGGTTGATTTTTCTGCTTTGCAAGCAGTTGAAAATGAAATGTTAAACGGTAAAGACAATAATCGTGCGTATGACTCTCTCGCATACGAAAAAAATGTTAATAAAAACCAAAAATCAAATTATAAGAGCGGGTACTTGGGTGCCGTACGAAAACCCATAGAAAAACAACCACAAGCAACAAGTGGTACCACAACAGCGTTCTCGTTTAACGAAAATACTAACATCAAAACAATTGACCACAATAACGAAGAAGGGGACAATAATGCTAAAAATATCGTTTGCGAAGATATAGACGACGTGTTCGGTTTTAACAGCACAGCCACTCGCAATAATTACAAATATTATGAGAATAGTGTCGACCCTTCAAGCGGTGCAAGTGCAAGTGTTAATACTGCATGGCGCAGTTCAAATTTGATAACAACAGCAAGTGCTAAATACTGTGATATTAATTTTAATGGTTCGCCCAATTCGTTATCGGCAAAATATCGAAGCTTAGTAATGATTACAAAAGATCAAAACAATGAAGATGACGCTACGCCACGTGCGACAGGAGATTTGTTTAACTCTGAAAATACGTGTACGCTTAGCGACGTAAATGCGAATCGCGCTATTAATATATCTCAAGAGGATAATAACATTGGCAATGACTCATTTAAAGCTCAGTTTAAAATAGATAATAATGAAGTGATAGCGTCGTGTGCTGTGGAAGAGTTACGAGATGACGATCAAGTCAATTCCGTAGATTTGTTAAGAAATCAACGTATAACTGCGAATGACGACGACGCTGACCATGATCATGATGTTAATGACCCAAAAAGTAATTCATTAAGTGCTAATAAAAATTTAAACAGAAATAAAGCCCCAACAGTTTGCCTGGAAGATGGCTTGGCAGACGATGACTCCTGGGTTGAGGATTTAAGTGAACATGGTGACGTTAATAATGACAATGAAGATGATGATAATGAAACAACGCCCACTGGCACAGATTCGGAAGATGGCGAAGATCCGCATTTAATAGGAATGTTTACTGACCGTGAAGAAGAACTCAGGGGCTATCACCGTACCGCTATAGATTTCACACTCCATACTATTGTTGAAGAAAGCTGTGAAGAAAGCGAGGGAGCTTCGTTGCGCGATCACACTGACGAAGAGGAACTGGACGATTTAGAGAAGAGACGTCAGCGCACGCTTCAACATCATCATCGTCTGTCCGCCTCTGAGTTAGAAAAGTATTTTTTCTTTGGCTTAGGAGACGGAAAAGTGATGAGTTCGATCGACACACGTGGCGACGAAACTTCATCAGAAGTTAGCAGCGTATGCTCAGAAGGTTTGGATTCATTAGGAATACCTGATGAGCCAGTTAATGATATAAATCAAGTGACGGATTTGGCTTCATCGCGTCTAGAAAAATACTTCTTATCTGGCTTTATGGGTTTTAATGCTGCCGAGAAAAATGAATCAGATGAGAGCGGAAGTGTTGGTAGTGATAGTGAAGGTCAGCCCAGCCCTAGTCAACGCCGAAAGCGTCTAGTACGAGCCAGAGGTACTCCAAGATCTCATAATTCATCATTGGATAACTTACTTGTGGACACGTTAACCGCTTCTGTTAATGATAATCAGGATAATAATCTGTTACCGATTAACAATGTAAATGACATGTTAGATTCTTCTGAATCGGAAGCATGTGACGAAACCGTCATTCATGCTGCGAACATTAGCGACAGAACTACTGATGCTTTCGATACTATTAAACGTAAGAAGCAGGTACGCAAACGTCATGATTCACTAGATGAAAAGAAATTATACGACGTCAGTCAAACGGAAGATGTTAATAAATCACTCTCCACAAATTTGGAATGTCGCACTCCAACTCCTGGCTCCATAAGCAATTCTCAAGCAAAAAAACAGCAACATCACAGTCGCGACAGCGGGTTCGTGGGTAGCAACGATGACCTATTAAAACCTACTGAAGGGGAAACAATTTCTACTCAGTGCCGTACAATGTCGCCAACAACTCTCGAACAAATCAACGAAGATAAAGAAAATAACAATGCAAAAACTGAACTATCATTGTCTAATGATGTGCCGCGTATTAATGTTCAGTTCGAATCGGATGCAAATGTTTTTCCTATAGAAAGTTTACCTAAAAAACATTCGCTGCCACCAACATCAAATACAAATTTGGTACGAAAAGATAGCTTCAATAATTGGAGTTCCGACGAGGAAACTAACCTAATGATGTCTAAAATGAGACAGTTTTTCAAAACATTGGTGGTAGCAACCGCAAATGCCCAACAGAATCAGGGATCTGATAACAATTCAAAGTCCGGCACGCCTAATCAAACAACGCCTATCTCTGTGAGACGGGCGAAAGCGCGCCCGGCTACGTTAGCTTACTTTGAAAACGAATTAACGAGGTTAATGAAAACTGTGCCCGGCATAAATGACGAACAAGTAAGAGAGATCGTAGAGTATTTGAGCAGTGAGGACACGTGGTCAGATTCGTACGATTCTTCGGATTATACTAGTTCGGATTTAGAGGGAAGCAGTCAACGGCGAAGTGAGCTAAGGCAACAAATATCTGATAGTTGTCAGCAAATCATTAATAAATTCGAAGTTGATGAAGAGGGCGACCGAGGCGATGGTGGTGTATTGGATGAAACAAGAGGTCTGACAAATGACTCAGCTTTAGTTTATCAAAAATTGGTAGCTTCATTTTCAAAAATGGCTATGGGGGAGAATGCCAACAAGCCCGCAAGTCAATTGCCAGAGCGAGAATCTAATGTACAAATTGCGAGTAACAATGTAAGCAAAGTATTAGAAGACGATCGAATATCGAATAGTAGCATTCGCAGTGCTGAACGTTCTCCACAATTGTTTGCAAAAGTTATGCAACATATAGGCGCACGTTTAGTAGCGTTAATGCATGAAGTGAGTAGTGGCAATGATTCGCACGGTACTAATTCGCCAATATCCACGCAGCGAAATCAGCATAAGCGGTTGCAAGCTAAAATTTCAGCGACAACGACCGAAGACGAGGAGGATACAATAGTGGAAGAAAAACACGGAAACACTCGTAGTGGCCAGTATTTACACCCGTTAATCGCTTATAATCCCTCCGCACAATCCAACTGCCAAACGTCCAATAGGCCCAACGCCTATGCACAAGATGAAGCCTATCATTTAGCGCGCAGCAAATCGCACGACTTGTTGCTTGACTCAGGCTCTTCTGCGGCGGGTACTACTAATAATCCAGTAGGCAATAGTGCAAACAATAATAGCTCTGCACATACTCGACCGCATCATCACCAGTCAACTAGCGGCGTTAGCGATACCGCCGGGGAGGAGTGCGGCGTCGCCAGCGACTACGAGCGCTTTTCCTGGCGCGGCAGTTTTGAGTCGGCATTACTGGCTAATGGCGATTCCAGAACTAGACTTTCACAACTCGATCGTGATAACTCATCGTCTGCATCCGCTTTGGCCGTAGCAAAGCGTCGTTCGGCAGGTGATTTGTTATTTAATCACAAAAGTCTTAGTAGGGAGCAATTGGATCGTGTGCGATCATGTGGCAGTATAGGAGGCGGCGATGAGCAACACCAAGTATTAGAAACATCACCAGCCAAGCCGTGGCTATCGTCTTCTGATTCGAAAGATGTCAGACGTTCTAGCGTACCAGACGCCATTTACGAAACAGATTCCTCTTCCGATGACAACGAACCATTTGTAAGTGCCCGTTCGACGTTACCGCGTAGTTTGCTTAGCGCCACGCAAATGTCTAGCACAAATTCTTTACCTCGTCTGCCCACCACCGCCAATACACCAATAAGCTTGGGAGCGGCCACAACAGCAAGTTCAACGTCAGCTCTCGTAATAGGAGGCACGGGTGTGGCAGCGACGTCAACACCTTTGTCTAAGTCACAAAATGCATTGAATTTTACACCAACAAGCGGTAGCGTCAAGAGTGCTCGTTATCGTCCACCCGGATTGACGGCACGCCACAATTTTGGTTCTATTACCAATAAAAAGTCTACACAAACACATGGCCAGGGATTGCACCACTTTTTATATTCTAAACGTGATGCACGTAAACGTTTAAACTTGTCCACGGGTGAGCAATTAATTAACATACATATACATAGTTTTCTTTTGTCATCTTATTGCAAGTTCAGTCTCAGCGCGTTCCTTTGCCTTTCTTTTTTTCCTTTTCCTGGTGTTGGGTGTGTTAAAGAGAACAGCCCTCTGGTACAAGTACTATTTGAAATGCCCGTAAACATATGTTCAAATTTTCGTATTCGGTGGTTGCTATTTGATTAGAAAAAAAAGAATTCTTTTAATTATGATTGCAACACCTAAAAGTCATAAAGTGTGGTTGTTGCAGAAGGTTTTAAATAAAAGGAAAAAAAAGAAAAATTAAATTTGCTTAAATGTTGAGAAACAAATTTTATATGAGAATGTTATAAAAAAAAAAACAACAATCAAGGCTAGCTGACGACGTATTTGATCACTTTAAAACAAAACTTTGTGTTCATAATTTTTGCTTAAGAAATCGTATTTATTCAAATGTTTAATGATTTTTATTTTTTTTTTATTTTTTTTGTTTTCAAATTATTATTACGTAACTCCGTTCCGTTTTTAAGGAAAGTAAATATGAACGTCTATTGAACGTTTCGGGCACCCATTCATTATATTTGAGATATCTTTATCTCTTAATTGAAGTTTTATCAATTTTTAATAGTTTTCGTCTTTCCGGTTTCATATGTTTAATGAATAATAATTATGTTTTATTTTTTTTTTTTTTCTTTTTTCAAATTTTTCTTTGGTTTTATTCGCTTTCTTAATAATTTCTCAACAATGCATTAATGCACGCTATATTCGATTGCATTCATTACATTATTATTATATGTGGATAGATATGAAAAGGAATTCTTTTTGATCATTTTTACATAAAAATAATATTTCCTAGATAATGAAATAAATTTCAATACTTTCAAAAATTACTTAAAAACTTTGCATCAAACTTTAAAAAGAAACGGAAATCATCGAAATTAATAAATCATTTATTTCTTTGTCTTTTGTCTTGTTTGTCTTCTCTGTATGGCCAGCTACATGATGATTAGTGTATAATGATGCAGTCGCCAAAACACTTTTGAGTATTTTGCTCTGCAATCACTCTTCCCTCGCACACTTATGTATCTTCTCCGTTGAGGTGATTCGAACTTTTTCACAACACTTTCAATTAGTCGTTTATCGAGAGAATTATAACAATCGTAAATTAATGATGACGCACGGAGTGTTGCCGTTGAAGTGGTGGCTCTTATTCCATTCATAATTAGTACGTTTTTTAACAAGTTGAAGTCAATACAAACTAGAGCAAATGTCAGAACATACTTTCAGAATAACAAACAAAACGAACACGATGAGACTTTGAATTGACTTTACTAAATACCGTACCCTCATTGACGCTCAGGCGAGTAGGGTTTTTCAGATTCTTGAAACTTATGAAGAAGTTATTGAATATTTTCCCTTCAATCTTTACACAATCTTTACATCATTTAACTATTTTTACTCGTACGCCCGCCTAATAGAATCCAAGTCATGACTTCACAAGATTGCTTAACCTTTGCACTATATAGTTATATAACTTATTGAAAACTTTCTTCAGGACATTGAAAGAATTATTTGTGAGACATTGCCGTTTACGTTTCATTTGTCATGTTTTCCGATTAGTTTGCTAATAAGCGATCTTTAGAGCGTAAATATTAAATATTAGTGCCAGGTGTTTATTCAAAATTCATAAAATGTATGACATAAGAAGCATAACTTATTGAACTGACTTTAAATAAAAACTGGCAGTGCGTGTATATAAAAAATTCCTTACAAAAATAGAACAAATTTGCTCTCTTGGTTCTCATTATAAAACGAACTTAATAAATATAGAAACAACCAGTATACTCCAAATAAGTGTCGTAACTCTAACAGAGCACATACTGTCCAAATGCAATACCAAGATTGAAATTGCAAATATAATTAAAAAGATAAAATAAAGATTGTTATCACTTTTGGGCAGATGTGAGTTAGGAAAGTTTTATATAATTTGTAATAGAAATCAATTTAATAACTTTTTTAAAATAAATAAAAGAAGAAATCTATCTTATTGTTCATATGTGTTCCCAATGGAATGACTATCGAAGCATGATCGATTGTCTTCAATATTGGAAAACAAAAGTGTTTCATTAAACGTTTATACAAACGTGCGAAAAGAAATGATTGCATTTCTTAGCAATTGCTGCCCTAATATAACTGAGATGACGATAAGACAATTAAAGTACATGACTGATAAAAATGTTTGCTTATATTAATTAAAAACAATTCGATAAGAAAGAGCAAGTGAACTTGCGTTGGAAACTTCATGAGATTATACGAAATAATTTAAAGGCCACAAAAAACTCTGTAAGAAGTACGGACTTCGCATAGCCTGCGGACTTGCTAGCTAGCTCTAAATTCCCTATGCACAATAGGATATAATCAAAATTTATTGTAGAGAATGCGAGGTATATTTCTTATTAGCCTTAGTCTAGCTCTTCAATGAAAATTGTATTTGATTTTCAAAAAAAAGAAAAAAAAAATTAAAATAACTGTAGCAACATGGTATCAGAGCATTAAAAGAGCTGTAATTAGTATTAGAACAAACTATAGTCAATTTCAGCTGAATCTCTTGGTATCTCTGCTCGTCTGCTGCCATATTTGATAGCAATAGCATTTTTGTGAATTTTTTTGCTTAGAGTACAAGACAAGCACTTTCTGAATCGATCTAAGTTTGTCTGCCCGTTTTTTTTTTTCTTGGATTTTGCGCACAAGTTACAATTTTTGAGACACTTCGACAGAATCTGGTACACCGACATATTTTGGCTTAAGCACGAACGGAAATTGGTTGGGACCGGAATACGTTTTCGACATGCTCCCATATGACGTCTTATTTTGCAAAGTGGTTATATGAATACGTGTAGAGTAGAGTAATGGGGGGCTATGTCCGGCTAAGCCAATATGCTTCCCCCGTGCCCTAATGTAAATGTATATTATGATTTTTTAAAATTGTTTTCAATTGTACATTAAATTGTCTTTCATAAGCTGGCAAATGAATGAAACACGATGTGACCAAAAGCTTGTCTGAACCTTTTCAACTCAAGCTTAACTCGCCCAAGCGTTAAAACATTATTTTCGAGCAAAAATTAAGTTTCAGGGTATTCAGCTACCACCTGCAGATGGACTTGGCAGACAGACGATATGTTTATACTATTTCCAATCCTACATCTATTTACAGCATAACGTTTCCATTTGCATAATAAAAATATTTATAGATTTTATTGAGTTTCTCAGGTAAAGAATCGACTTTTTCTCACAGTACTGTGTTTTCCAAGAAATATTTCTTCGATTGTATTGTACGTACCGCACTAGAATGAATGCTAAAAAGAGATTCTTAAAGTGATCAAATATTTATTAAATTAACCTTTTCGACACTTTAACAAATACTTAAAAGATGAAGAGAATACTAAGATATGAAAAGAAAATTAATTGTCCAGATAGAGCATAGCGATTGGAATACATATGTATTTAAATTAATCAAATTTAATTGTAGTGCAAAATGACTGAAATTCGAAACTATAATATATGAAGAGCCGCCAAAATTGTGAATAGTTTTTCAAAATTACACAATGTGGACAGTTGAGTCTCTTTCGTTCTTGTTGTTGTTTGCGGTGATTGAATTTTAAAAAGTAGTTAAAAATTTGGCTTTTTTTTTCCAATATATCAAAAAATTTATCAAATCTAGTGAAAGTGCAAAAAATGAAAAGAAAATTTATGAGAAAAAAAATGAAAAATTTACAAAAATATCGAATAAACAAAAAGCAAATGAATACATTTTCTAAAGATATATTTACATATGTATGAATACCACTACGTACACAACATAGTAAAAACAAAAAACTAAAGACAGAAAAAAAAACACTTATGGTTATTACCATAATTAAATAATCAATTGTTATTTGTGTTAAACCCATTACCTATAAATGCATGCATACATATGTAGCAAGCAAAAATAAAAAAAAAAAAAAAAAAAAAACAGCAAAATCAAACAACAAACTCCAATAATAATTCATAAGCGAAATATTAAATAACCACAAAAAAGCCGCTGCAATAATAAAAAGAGGAAAAATAAAAACTATTCGAGATACACAGATTAACTTTACATGACATGGAAACAGCCTTTAGAAAATGGAACTAAATAATAATACGACATAGACTAGCAAAAGTTTCGGAATATTGTAATAATGTCTATGTAAAAAAAATTGTGAAGAAGAAAAACGCAGAAAAGCATATTTGCTTAAGGGCACGACTTGCACTATGTATGTCCAGGAAAACCATTAAATTTTGAGTAATGTCGTTTCTAATGGCATCGTGATCAATAGTACGAAATCCAAAAACCACATAAATATGTGTAGAGTAGAGATTTGCTCATGAATCAACGCCCTTTAAGAGATAAGGTTAAGAGAGTTACTAATCTTACCTCGACAGTGGTAGATTGTAAGGAGTTTATAAGAAGCTTGTTAACACATGACTATGGTAGACGTTTACCGGTGAATCAATTTTATTTTAAATGCCCTTTGATATATAGAGAAGAGATTAGGTTAACAGAGTTGCAA